GGTCAACTGTCAAATTTGACACATTTTTCGATGATCTCACTGGGTAGCGTGCATTGTCTCTCTTTGGATCTCAATATTTTCCTGCTAGAAGGTCAAGACCTAGTGTTTTGGCAGTAGTTTGACGCGCAAATGTATGACGTCACCATTTCAACCATCAACGAACGCATGGAACTAAAACAATGCTTAATATAAAGGAAAAACTAGAGAGGTGACGGAATTACCCACGATGTCGGAATATACCTCGTTTACCCTACTAGCTTTGAAAAACTACTGAAAAAGTATGTTCTTATAATAGCAAAAACACTATTTTGAAAAGTTACTTCTGCTAAGGTCTGTAGCAAAAAAAATATTCGCTGTATTAAAAATTTTACTTACATAAAAGATGCACCCAGGTATCGGCTTGAAAACGTAATTAACAGAATTGTCCTACTCATTCTGAAAAAAATGGCGGCCATTTCCGCATGGCGGGGCTACTCGGGAGTCTGGGACACCTCCCCGGGGCCCGGGGCCATTTGGGATGCCCCCAAAAACGCATTTACAGTAGAACCTCAGTTAGCAAAGGTTCCAGTTAAGAAAAAAATTGATTAAAAACAAAGAATATCTATTACATTTACCTCGCTCAGCGAAAAAATTTCACTTATCAAAAAATTAGTGCATCATTGGTCATCACAAAATTGTACATGGAATGTCATATATAGAATTGTGCACCAGGCATCAAAGAATGAAAAGTAATTGACCTAAACTATTGGTATTTATTTCTCCAAAACATATGATGGTTGTCACTAAAACATTCCTTTCTGTATCAGGTATGTTTTTTGCGTTTTTTTTATAGTAAATTCACTTAACATAATTAAAATGGTGTGAAATTACAAGCCGTCCTGTAAGCTTACAGGTACAGAAAAAATGCTATAAGGCTGCTGATATGAAGCTTGCAGTGGACAAGGTTGTTGTAAATGCTCAATGGCATGTTCATGGATATGGTAATATCGCATCAATAATACGATAATGTCACATCAATAATACCGTAAAATGGGGTAACTTTGACCACTTTTTATTTTCAAAATGATGCCATTTTTTACTAGATAAGTTAAACTTAAATTGAAACATGCAAAATACAGGTCTACACTCAAGCTTTACTCACCATAAATTGCTGGCTCCTGCCTCTCATAGTTTTGATGTAATTTCAAAAAAAGTGGTGGTCTTTGTTACCCCAGATCTTGGGGTTTCTTTGACCGGGTGGTAAAATCAATTTTATTTTTTGGTAAAATAACTCCAAATCCAAATAACTCCAGGTTGCGGTGCATTGTAGTAGAATTCTTCTAGTTACATATGCAAAAGACAAATTTTAGGAAAGTATCATAGTTTGCAAATAGGGGGCATGGCCCCTCAATGGGCGAAGTGTGACCACCTAATGGCAGCCGTGATGGGGTAACATTGACCGGTTTGGAAATTAAGTTAAAATTACCATTTATAAGACTCTGTAGAGTCTGAAACATAAAGAAAAAAACATTAATAGGTGTATCAAACATGAAATATGTTATATAGGTACCTATGGTAATTTTAACTTAATTTCCAAGCCGGTCAATGTTACCCCATCACGGCTGCCATTAGGTGGTCAAAGTTCCCCCATTGTGGGGCGGCGCCCCCTATTTGCAAACTATGACACTTTCCTAAAATTTGTCTTTTGCATATGTAACTAGAAGAGTTCTATTACAATGCATCAAAACCTGGAGTTATTTTACCAAAAAATAAAAAAAAATTGGAGGGGGTACTCCGACAGGCTTTAAATAATAGCTCTTTTTTGTGGGTCACATTATTAATTTTTTAACCTATTAGATATGCAAACTTTTTAAATCTTTCTATTGTGTTACATAGCCTCAGTACCGTCAACCGGGGCTACTCGGGACGGTTTTGAGCGTTTTTTGTTAATAACTTCTTACGATGAAACATTTCATAAACAAGTTTAGGCTCATTTTATAGCTCTTTGCGAGGGCTATCGAATGGCATCTTCAAAAAAATTCCATATGCTATTCGTAAGGTGCCAGAAGCAAAAAAAGAGTGTCCCGAGTAGCCCCGGGGCTACTCGGGACACTGGGAATAAAACTTCATTTTAAAATATTTGAAGCATGCAGAGCCTACTCATCCATTACTAACAGTACTCTGAAGTCCTCCTCTTTCATTGTAGACAATGTAGAGGTAGAATAAATGACATTTTCTGTGACTTTTACTAGTTTTTCCTTCATTGATATGATATTACCATAAACATTAATTACCGTCAACTGGGGTGACTTTGGCTGTGTTTTTGATTCATGCTGGGGTCGTAAACGCGGGGTCGTAAACGCCGGGGTCATAAACGCCCGGGCCATAAACACCGGGGTCATAAACGCCTGAGTGACTTTGGCCACTGTTTATGACCGTTTATTACCCCACTTTGGCCATCACTATGAACATGGCCGAATCACCCAGTTGAGGGTACCGTTTTATAGATGGGATATTACTGTATTATTGATGCCATATTATGGTATCCATGAACATGCCATTGAGCATTTACAACAACCTTGTCCACTGCAAGCTTCATATCAGCAGCATCATAGCATTTTTTCTGTATCTGTAAGCTTACAGGACGGCTTGTAATTTGTGAGATGATAAGTGAATTTTTTTTCACTCAGCGAGGTAAATGTAATCAATATTCTTTGTTTTTAATCAATTTTTTTCTTAACTGGAGCCTTTGCTAACTGAGATTCTACTGTAAATGTGCTTTCCGGGGTGTCCCAAATAGCCCCAGGGGGGTTGTCCCGAGTAGCCCCGCCGTGCGGAAATGGCTGCCATTTTTTTTTTTGTAATGAGATAGGCAAAATCTGTCAATTACGTTTTCAAGCCGACACCTGGGTGCAACTTTTATGTAAGTAAAATTTTTTAATACGGCCAATATTTTTTTTGCTACAGACCTTAGCAGAAGTAACTTTTCAAAATAGCGTTTTTCACCATTTTTTTCAGGAATTTTTCAAAGCTATTAAATGTCGTATTTTTCGACTTCCTTTATACTACATAGATAGGAAAAATGTTGTTGTTTAGGCCACTATATTTAGTTTAGCAATATTCCAATTAGTTTCGCTACTATGACTGTTTTACGACGTGTCAGAGGTGCGTCCCAAGTTGCCCCGGTTGACAGTATCAGGCCTTTGATGGCCATTGACAAAATTTTTCTATGTCAAATCGTTATTGAGATTGAGTTTTGGGGGTTTTTGTTAAAAAAACGAAAAGTGGTCAAAGTTACCCCGCCGGTCAAAGTAATCCCATTTTACGGTACCTGGTACGGTAATTAATGTATATGGTAATATCATATCAATAAAGGAAAAACAAGTAAAAATCTCAGAAAATGTCATTTATTCTAACTCTACATCATTTACAATGAAAGAGGAGGACTTCAGAGTACTGTTAGTAATGGATGAGTATGCTCTGCATGCTTCAAATGTTTTAAAATGAAGTTTTATTCAAAGTGTCCCGAGTAGCCCCATTCCACGGGGCTACTCGGGACACTCTTTTTTTGCTTCTGGCACCTTACGAGTAGCATATGGAATTTTTTTGAAGATGCCATTTGATAGCCCTCGCAAAGAGCTTTAAAATGAGCCTAAACTTGTTTATGAAATGTTTCATGGTAAGAAGTTATGAATTAAAAACGTTCAAAAGTGTCCCGAGTAGCCCCAGTTGATGGTAATTAAATTTATTTGTAGTTCATTTTCAGTATTTTTTGTCCATTTAGGTATTTTTTGTAAGTACAGTATGGACAATTGGACACATTGCTATGGCCCTTGTCTGAATTTGTCAGTTGAATTCAAGAAAGAGGGTTTTTTTCTGTGTAATTTGAAAAATTAGACATTAAAGATCGGGTTTACCTAGGATTCTTGGAAAATTCTGCCTGATATTTCCGATTGGTGACTTTGGTTGCCCAGTGCCCAAGTTCCATAGTACAATCATATCAATGCCCGATGAGCTGTTCACATGTATTTGTTAGTATATCACCAGGACGTCACTGCTGGCAAGGCCACTTGCCCTGCCAGCAAGTTGTACTGCCAGGCACAGAGTGAAAAGTTGAGATTGTCTTATGTTGACCGTGCTCTCTATAGGCATGGATAACCTCTTTGTCTGAAGACTTTTAAATGGTTGCATTTCCTGAATCTCCTTAGACAACACAGTGTGGTGTCACCTAGTGTGATTTGTGTAACAGGTATATACCTATATAGCTAATATGTAACTTAGGAAGTGTAAGAATTGATACCTGATGTGATACAAGAATTGACATGAAATCTATTGAATCTCTCCTTTTTTAATACCTTATATGCTCAATGGAATATAAAACACCAAATGATTTATACATACAGAAGCATTTCAGTAAATCTAAGTATTGATCAGGTTTACTATATCAAAATAAGTAAAGTTGTTCAGCTGGCTTATTCTAAGAAAATAATTATGAGAAAAGGCTTGCAAATGAGCCAATTTTATGGATATATTGCAAATCATGGATGCATGCTTTAAGAAACTGAATGCAATAAATGACAAGAAGCTTGTTTTTAATGCATAAATTTTATGTATAACAAAAAAGATATAAATAAGTTTAAATGCACAATTAAAATAATCATTATTTATGAAGAAAGCCATTTAACCATGCTCCTCTCTTTGCAATGCACAACTCATTAGGCAAATTTCCTGTCCTTAGTCTTTTCTAAAGCAAAGATGAACCGATATACTTGTAAAGTAAAATTTGTATCATGTATTTTAAAACTTCCTGTTGTGTTTTATTATCAAGCATTTTATTGATGTGCAGTCCTTCAATGATCTTAGCTTAGGAAAAAAAGATTTTCTCCTCTGGTTTGCATTAGAGCTGCTTTAAAAGACTCTTTAGTTGTAGCTCTGTCCAGAATGCTGAAGAATGAAAGTAGTTTGTAGTCAGTAGGTATTTTCTTGTTTTAATCACTTAATGCAATACAATATTTTTTTTACAGATTTCCAGCAATTCTTTTGAGCCAAATTTAGTATAAAATTAATGCCAGGATGACTGGCAATTTACCTCCATACCAACAACGGAATCCTGTTAGTGATGTCCTGCAGCAAATTCATAGACTCAAGTAAGTTATGTTCATATAATGAATGAGATGGATGTTGTACTTGTATATCCATTCTTCTTGTTTTTGTTGATGAATTCATTTTGATTATGAATACTTCAAAAATATATGGTACCTATAATGATGATTATAGATAATTGGTAACAGAATGCCCATTCTTCAATGAAGATGTAAAAGTTGATGTATTTCAAAATTCAGATTTTTCTCTATTCATATAAGTAGGTATATTTAACATCTCGTGTGAATTCATTGAACTTCTGCACATTTTAAAGTTTAAACCTCAGCATTTTGGCTGTGCTGGTTTATGTTGAATAGGCTGTTTCATTGGTTGGTGTTGCAAATTAATATGCCTCTTAGCATTACCTATATTATGCATCTTGGGCTCCCAAGCTCTGTGTCCTGCAATAATCTTAGCGCGAGTCTTACAGGTCAAGTAAAACATTATTGGATATTCCTGCTCTCGACAATAATACAGCCAACAATGTAAGCATCACATAACAATTACTAATAATTTTTAATTTATTCTCAACAGTCCAATGGGAGGCCTGATGGGAAGAGGGAGCAGTGGCTACAACCCTTCTAACTCGGGCTCATCAATTTTGGGCCCATTAAATACAAACTTTACCGGCACCAACAGTGGCGGTGGGGGTTTTGGGGGTGGAAACTTCCCCACAAGCGCCTCAGAGACTGCACCCTCCCCTTTAGACTTATCTGAATTCCCCTCCTTGAGTCGTAGTAGTGGAGTGGTGGGAGACTCCATGACAGTTGGGGGCACTCATGGTGGGGGACGCACATCTTATGGTAGTTTGGGGCATGGCTGGGGTGGTGAGTAGCGCCTTTGTTTTTCATTTGGTTAATAAAAATAACAAGCATTCTTTGGCTCTGATTAGTTTCTCACATTACTAGGTTTCAATTCAATCAATATTGGTGAAGATCTTATATTTTGTGATTAAGATCAAGAAAGGGCAATGTCAGAATTAGTGTATAAATGACAATAATTAAATTGTGATTAGTTTGTGTGTATTAAGCCACTTTGTTCTGTCAAAGAATTTAAACACTACTTGAAGATTTTTCCTAGATTGTTTCTTTGTGAAGTCAATTTTAAATTATCTTGCAAACCTATATCAATATTCATCACATTATTATAACCCCCCAAAAATCGATTTATAGTTATGCTCTCAGAATTAAATTTAAAATACTTATGCATATTTTCCAGTAAAATTATGGCAATCCATCATGACTGCTTGAAACTTGTGCATAATATTTTTTTTACTGTGCAGGCATGGTGAAGCAGCCAGTTTCAGAGCCCTCCGAGTTTACTATGAGTAGTGAAGATTTTCCTGCCTTACCAGGGTCACATATGAGCAAAGCTAAACAACAACACAGTGAGTGGAACCTGATGCTGCTCTTCTTGTTGTCATTTATCAGTGCATTATATAGGTACCAAATTGAGGAGGTATGATATATACTGCTGTAATTCAACTACTTTGGCAGATAACATAGCTACTTAATAAATTGATAGTTATGTACTAGCAGGTAGTTAGTGAATTAGTCTGCATACCTACATCTCATTGTTATATGGATGATGAAAAGAAGGATTTTGTATTGCCCTCCAGTAAATTTGTTTGATTCATAACAGGCGAGGCATTTGGAGGCGACAGCAAAAAGTCAGGTGGTGCCAGCAACAGCGGGGGTGCTGCTACTGCAGGGTCTGGGGGAGCTGGTGGCAACAGCAATGCCGTCTCCTCAAGTAGTTCCTTAAACATCACTTCTGCAGGTCAGTTTGTGGCTTGTATGCTAACAAATTATTTTGTTTAAGTCTAGAGTCTTGCTTCTATGATTTTATTTCATAGCTGATACGTATGATAATTACAGTATGCTAGATACCTGCCCAACATGAGGCCTGGCAAAGCATTTTGTTTAAAGTTAAAGTATCACTTCTTGACAATGGAAACTTATTTTTCACAACAAATTCAAGATTGCTGTATTTTTGAGTATATTTTTATTTAAATGTCTCAAACATATTCGTGCAGAAATAAAGCAGTATAATGTTATGATAATTATTTTATAAGGTGATGTTGGTATGAGCAAATCAAAGCTTCTCCTACAAGGGAAAAATTGTGTCTCTAAGGAGGTAAGGAGAGAAGTTTAAACATGCATGTGTTAATTTGAGAGAACTGGGCCACACATAATGAAAATTATGATCAGAGAGGTGGGAACTTACGTGGATGATAAATTTGAGGATAAATGACACACCAGGAATTTATTGAGCATTTTTGTTCTAGTCTTTACAACCATGTTAATTAGGTAAGGCTTTTTTTTTGTATCACAATTCACTATCATAAACCCAGAAAGTAAAAGTTTGATTTTGATAAAATGTATTGATGAAGGAGAAGAAACAAACTTCTTGTTGCTGCGAATGGATGGGTTACGATGAAAAATATCAGCAAGCAACAGAAAATACTCATTTGAGCAAGTGAAAGTTAGTGGAATGTATTGAATGTTAGTGGGATGTATTGAATGCAGAAGCAGATGTCTCAAAATAATAAAATACAGTAAAGTATAAAAGCAAAGTAGATAGTGTAATGCTGATTCTGTGTCATGACTTGCAGGCTCAGACATGGGTGCCGGTGACGGCCGAGGGTCAGCTGGCGTAGGCGACAAGAACAGCCAGTCTAAACGAGGCATACAAACCTGTCCTGACGGTTGGTGCTCCTACTGCTTCTGCTTCCTGAGTCTGCTTCCTGCCCCTGCTTCCTGCCTCTGCTTCCTGCCTCTGCTTCCTGCCTCTNAGATCAGGCGTGTTAACCAGCAGATCAGGTGACAGTGAGGCGTGTTAACCTGCAGATCAGGTGACAGTGAGGCGTGTTAACCAGCAGATCAGGCGTGTTAACCAGCAGATCAGGTGACAGTGAGGCGTGTTAACCTGCAGATCAGGTGACAGTGAGGCGTGTTAACCAGCAGATCAGGCGTGTTAACCAGCAGATCAGGTGACAGTGAGGCGTGTTAACCTGCAGATCAGGTGACAGTGAGGCGTGTTAACCAGCAGATCAGGCGTGTTAACCAGCAGATCAGGTGACAGTGAGGCGTGTTAACCTGCAGATCAGGTGACAGTGAGGCGTGTTAACCAGCAGATCAGGCGTGTTAACCAGCAGATCAGGTGACAGTGAGGCGTGTTAACCTGCAGATCAGGTGACAGTGAGGCGTGTTAACCAGCAGATCAGGCGTGTTAACCAGCAGATCAGGTGACAGTGAGGCGTGTTAACCTGCAGATCAGGTGACAGTGAGGCGTGTTAACCAGCAGATCAGGCGTGTTAACCAGCAGATCAGGTGACAGTGAGGCGTGTTAACCTGCAGATCAGGTGACAGTGAGGCGTGTTAACCAGCAGATCAGGCGTGTTAACCAGCAGATCAGGTGACAGTGAGGCGTGTTAACCTGCAGATCAGGTGACAGTGAGGCGTGTTAACCAGCAGATCAGGCGTGTTAACCAGCAGATCAGGTGACAGTGAGGCGTGTTAACCTGCAGATCAGGTGACAGTGAGGCGTGTTAACCAGCAGATCAGGCGTGTTAACCAGCAGATCAGGTGACAGTGAGGCGTGTTAACCTGCAGATCAGGTGACAGTGAGGCGTGTTAACCAGCAGATCAGGCGTGTTAACCAGCAGATCAGGTGACAGTGAGGCGTGTTAACCTGCAGATCAGGTGACAGTGAGGCGTGTTAACCAGCAGATCAGGCGTGTTAACCAGCAGATCAGGTGACAGTGAGGCGTGTTAACCTGCAGATCAGGTGACAGTGAGGCGTGTTAACCAGCAGATCAGGCGTGTTAACCAGCAGATCAGGTGACAGTGAGGCGTGTTAACCTGCAGATCAGGTGACAGTGAGGCGTGTTAACCAGCAGATCAGGCGTGTTAACCAGCAGATCAGGTGACAGTGAGGCGTGTTAACCTGCAGATCAGGTGACAGTGAGGCGTGTTAACCAGCAGATCAGGCGTGTTAACCAGCAGATCAGGTGACAGTGTGGCGTGTTAACCAGCAGATCAGGTGACAGTGTGGCGTGTTAACCTGTAGCTCACATGACAGTGTGGCGTGTTAACCTGATGAGCCCATTAATTGCGTGATGTGTTGTGACACCGCACCTTAACATGAGCTTGTTTTCTTATCTTATGTTAAAGGCAACGTATTACGATGTCATTTACAGCTGTGTCACATGCAGCGCGTTAGTTTGTGTCACATACTGCACGACACTAACGTAGCTCTAGTCACAGCTTGTAGCATCCAATAACTTGACTCACGTTGCAGCATGTACGGCAGAGCTGGTAAGCTGGCGCCCATCCAGTTCGAGCGGTACGGAGAAGACCTTCTCTTCTACATGTTCTACTCCAATGCCGGCGACGTCTGGCAACTTATGGCTGCTGCTGAACTGTGAGCTCAACTGTAGGCTAGGCTTCATTAGCCTTTGTATAGAAACGATATTTTCATGCAATATTCTCGGACAATGGTGTTGAATTAATCAGAACAATGCATTTGATCAATGTTACTTGAGTACTTGCGACGCCCTGTTGTAGTTCGCTGGTATGCAAAAGGATTATTCAGAAGGGGTTGTAAGCCACAGAGGATACGTTATGCTGAGGTTATGCGGCGCCGAGATTTTATTACCCTGAGGATGTACTACACTGAGGGTGTACTGCACTGAGGGTGTACTACACTGAGGGTGTACTGCACTGAGGGTGTACTACACTGAGGCTGTACTACACTGAGGCTGTACTACACTGAGGCTGTACTGCACTGAGGATGTACTACACTAAGGGTGTACTACACTGAGGATGTACTACACTGAGGATGTACTACACTGAGGCTGTACTACACTGAGGCTGTACTACACTGAGGGTGTACTACACTGAGGGTGTACTACACTGAGGCTGTACTACACTGAGGCTGTACTACACTGAGGCTGTACTACACTAAGGCTGTACTACATTGAGGATGTACTACACTGGTTATGTACTACAATGAGGGTGTAGTACACTGATGGTGTACTATACACTGGTTATGTACTGTGCAGCTACAACCGCGACTGGAGGTACCACAAGGAGGAGCGCGTGTGGCTGACGCGCGCGCCTGGGATGCCGCCCGTCGAGAAGGCGCACGCGTACGAACGCGGCACCTACTTCTACTTCGACGTGACGGTGGGTCCCTACTTCTACTTCGACGTGACGGTGGGTCCCTACTTCTACTTCGACGTGACGGTGGGTCCCTACTTCTACTTCTACGTGACGGTGGGTCCCTACTTCTACTTCGACGTGACGGTGGGTCCCTACTTCTACTTCTACGTGACGGTGGGTCCCTACTTCTACCTTTACTTCACATGGGTACATATTTCATTTCTCGTTTCCTGCTTAATTTCTTTACTATTTGAGTGGATGAACTGCACACAAAATACCACTTTTGTTGCTGACTGCGTTGCATGTGTTGCAGAACTGGCGGAAGGTGCCCAAAGAATTCCACCTCGAATATGACAAGCTCGACAACCAACCCATGACCATCCCGCCTCTGCAGCAGAAGCAGCACCAGCAGCAGCAGCACCTTCAGCAGCAGCACAATCTCCATCCTCCCACCTCGGCACTAGCGTAGCAGCATTAGTCTCACTAGTACGTGGTTGCTACTAATGCTAGTTGCTAGTTTATTATTTCGCTACTAGTTTGTAAACTGAAGAAACTAGTGTTAGTAGTATACAAAGGTCAAAGGAGTAAGTTTAACCGGTTTCCCTCGCTTATAGCTTTGGCTCGAAACTGTTCTCTGTTACAGGCATGTTCTCTTGTCTACCTAAAAATCGTATGAAAATCAAGCAGCGTGAAACCTTTGATTTTGTTCTAAATTAGATTATTGAAGTACGGCAACATTATATACTTTATTTTAGATTCAGCCAAGTACATTATTTTTGGCACAAATGTTCATCTGAAACAGTATATGTCAATATTTTCCCTGACCTCCCAGGCTGTTCGTGCAATTACCGGTGACTTCGACGTGGTGGTGGAAGAAGAACGAGGGGAAGTGGAGGAGGAAGAGGGGAAGTGGGAGGAGGAAGAGGGGAAGTGGGAGGAGGAAGAGGGGAGGAAGCAAAGCCGTGTTGTGAGGAAATGCAGGAGGAGAAGAAGGGAAGAACGGGGCTCGTAAGAAGTGTACCCGCTTTTCCATCGTGTATTATTTAAATTTCTTCCTCTTTCAATAAAGATGACGTCTATAGTGGACCTGTCAATAACCTGTTGTTAGATTTTTAGCGACCTGTCATAAATTTCAACAATCTGTAAATGGCAACTACAGATTTGATTGTACATTTTGAATTATGGTTATAATTCGTGAAATGTGGTTGTACCATTGAAATATATTGCTCGAAATTTGATTACAATTAATTTGATTAATAGTTAATCATTATTCATTATATCTACCATAAAATATTCTGTTTTTCTTTTTTTTTAATTTTGATGCTACGAAGGTCTTACCTATAGTATCAATTCTTACCTGTCGTCTGGTCAAAAAATTTCTCCTCGTTGGATCTAATCCAAAATTGAATCTGACTTTGATACGTTTTTTTTTCGGCCCATATTGTCAGTGGTGGCTTGATTTACTTTAACACACAGACTCGGCTGAAATGCTTACTTAAATGCAATATGCACACTGTGCTGTGTTTAGTAGTGCCTCCTTGTTTACCTTCGCCCTTGTCCGCACCCTCTAATTTTGTCGCCTGCAGGGGAACACAAGGGGAACTGACGCTCCCCCAGGCCATATCCTCCCCGAGTCAAGTTTTTTTTTTTACTTGTAGAATGTTAATCAGGGGCCAAACTACCATATCCCGCTTTGATACACTCAGCGGTTTGAGTGCACGTAGCGACCTAAGTGCATCTAGCGACCAAAGTGCGCGTAGCGGCAGATTTTTCGTCTGCGATTGTTGAGTTGCTCCCAAGAAACCGTCAATTATTGGCTGATGGAGCTACGAACTCTTAAATGATACCAGGTACCTTATCGTCTATCCGTCTTGGTGCTCTTTTTACCTTCTGAAATCAATCTTATAATCCTTATCCTGAATCTTATACCTAATAATGAATCTAATGAAACATTAATTAAGACAAAATTAATTCTTTTTAAAACTCGGCAGCTGATAGAGTTGCCAGAAGGGCCACTACTTTTGCCGCCGTGCATTTGCCGCAATACTTGAAAACGATGTGCAGTGTTGCTGGTGAACCTAACTAGTGCCAAGACTGAGGGTTAGGTAGCACCACTAGTGCCAAGACTGAGGGTTAGGCAGCGCCACTAGTGCCAAGACTGAGGGTTAGGTAGCACCACTAGTGCCAAGACTGAGGGTTAGGTAGCACCACTAGTGCCAAGACTGAGGGTTAGGTAGCACCACTAGTGCCAAGACTGAGGGTTAGGCAGCGCCACTAGTGCCAAGACTGAGGGTTAGGTAGCACCACTAGTGCCAAGTCTGAGGGTTAGGTTGCACCACTAGTGCCAAGACTGAGGGTTAGGTAGCACCACTAGTGCCAAGACTGAGGGCTAGGTAGCATCACTAGTGCCAAGACTGAGGGTTAAGTAGCACCACTAGTGCCAAGACTGAGGGTTAAGTAGCACCACTAGTGTCGAAACTAAGACTTGATAGCGCTTAGTGTTTGCCGGCACCTTTAGTCTTTCTTTATTCACCGCTCAAACTCAAGTCTGTATTCAGTATCAATCTCCTGAATTGTCAGTGCATTTAAATAATAAATGATTCGCTTCATTATATCATTCAAATGTTTGTAAATGTTAATGTTCTAACGTATACTTCATAAAGCTTGTTTTCAGCTTATGCAGAAAAACCATGGCTAGTTTTACTTTGCTTAATTAGTCTTAGTTAGCTTAGTGTCTCTCGAGATGCAACGTTCACGTCGAGTTCAAAAATCCCTGTGATGGCTTCAGCTGTAGGAACAGCTGCTTCAGCTGTAGGAACAGCTGCTTCAGCTGTAGGAACAGCTGCTTCAGCTGTAGGAGCAGCTGCTTCTGCTGCAGCGATATATCGTGCCGTGCAGAAGGACGAAGCGTTCCTGCAGCAACTGCACGCAGCTGTTGCAGATGTTGTGCAGCGTCTTAAAGGTAACAATAACTGTCACTATTTACACTGATTTGACTGCAGCAATTCTGGATTTTACCCTTGTAAGCATATTCCCTCACCACCCTCGTACCGACCATTCCCTAGTCACCCAGTAATCCATTATCCGTGTATCCAACATATAACATAGTAATATATAACATATATAATCCACGTATCCAACATATAATATAAGATAATGTATAACATATATAATATATAACAAGGATAATCCACGTATGCAACATATAATATAACATAATATAATATATAACATATATAATGCACGTATTCACCACCCCCTCCTGACATCAGGCGGGGCGTTCTACCTACAGCACGACGCTGTGGTGACGCTCCTGACGCAGCTGACGTACGGCGCCCTGACGACGCTGTCGCTCAGGCAGACGTTGGGGGAGGAGTACACGGGGCTACTCCTGCTACATTCCTCCCGCGCATCCCTCCCATCCACATGGGTGAGTCCATACTTGTTGGGCTACGGGGTTGGGGGGGATAGTGAACTCTGGGGTTGTTGTTGTTGTGGTTCCCCGGTCTCGCTTTTACAAGAGACCCCCTCGCGTAAGTACGACACCACCGACAGGGGGTCGCTCAGAGCTGTAGGGCCGAGGTTATGTGGTGAGGTACCCCGGACCAGGGCCCGGGGTGGGGTTGAGGTCGGGGAGTTTGGCCGCCGAAAGTCGCACGCTTCCTCCGACGGGTGCCGCCACTGCGCAGAGGCAGGTTGATGGTAGTGGTGGTGCCTGGTTGATGGTAGTGGTGGTGCCTGGTTGATGGTAGTGGTGGTGAGAGGGGGCGCTCTACTCGAAGAAGCTCCCACATCCAGCGGCTGAACTCTGGGGTTGATGGTAGTGATGGTAAACTGTGAGGGGTGATGATAATCGGTGTGAAATGATGGTGAGCCATGCTTGACTGAATGATTTTTGATTTCAGATTGTCTACGTAGTTTTCAAAAACTAAAATTAACAATAAAAATGATTGTTTGTATCAATTGTATTATGATGACAGCTAAAACTGAAATATTGAAGACAATTAAGACTTGTATAGAGTTTAGGAATGATGATAGAACTTCTTCGTGCAAAATAAATTACTGAATTTTACGGCAGCGCCTGCACGCGGTGGTGTGGCTGCAGGCTCTAGGGGCGCCCCTGGGGCGCCTGCTGCTGCGCCTACTGCAGCAGTCGCTGTCCCAGGGCCTCCTGCACTCGCTCCTGCACCCACAGCTGTGCCAGACACTGCTGCTGTGCTCTAGTGCACTGCACCGCCTCGCTGCACCACTGCACCGTCTGCACCTTGCACTCTTCTTCATGCGGGGTGTGCACTACCACATCGCTAAGCGTGTCGCCGGCGTGCGATATGTGAGTCAAATCCTACCTCTCTTATCAGGCTTTATTAAGAGCGATAACAACTGATGTGATTACTCTCATCAGGCTTAATTAAGAGCGATAACAACTGATGTGATTACTCTCATCAGGCTTAATTAAGAGCGATAACAACTGATGTGATTACTCTCGTCAGGATTAAGAGCGATAACAACTGATGTGATTACTCTCATCAGGCTTAATTAAGAGCGATAACAACTGATGTGATTATCTGTGGCTTTATAATTTATTTCATCGTGACGTTCATTGCCGTTAATGTATTAAAAAATATAACTCAGTAGTCTCACTGCAGTGAGCGACAGAGAGCGCATTTTCTCGTCGACGAAAACTTGAGGTCACGGACGGACAGACGGACATGGCGAGCACAATAGTGCATTTTTTCCATAAATGGAAAATGCGTAAACTTCTGTTTTCTGAGGAGAAACAAGGATTTACGCTCAAGTAGCATTGATGAAGGCAATGTGTCTGCAGGCTAATTGTGACCAATTCTAGTTCTTAATACAATCGTATCATATAAAATTTAACGTGATCGCATTAGTCTTGTATTTCTTTATGTTCATAATTAAGTTTTATTCCCAACAACGGCTTCCAAGTACTATGATTTTACTCACCAAATTCAGTGAGAATTACCTCTGAAAATAATGCTGATATTCTCATCTTCAAGTGTTAAATGTTTATAATGATTGAATTCTTGTAATAAATATTGCGAGATTAAGACAGACTGAATGCTCAGCTTCTCAACGTGGTTTTCAATAAATCATGTATTGAAATATTTTGTATTATGATACCGTAGGCATATTTTTAAAAATAATACTTTTGAATAATTAAACATGAATTGCTTTTGGGAGTTCATAAATGGTCATAAGTCTCTGAAATTATAAATTGAAATTATAAATATTAAAGACGTTGCAAATTTGAAATTCCTTGTAATTGTGTACACGAATTCAAATGAACTGTATTATGAGAGCCATTTGAATGGATAACTGCATTGTCGAGGCCATTTAAAAGTGTCAGTGAATAGCTGAAGCCATTAGAAATTCTGACTGTATTTCTGATGTCATTTGAAGCTTTAATTGCATGTACTAATTTCAACTAGTAATTGCTTATGTCTGTTTCAGGTCTCGATACGAAGCTGGCTTAACGACCACAGCACCGACAGTTCACTGCGCTTCTTAGGTCGCCTGATGCTCCTGCAGCTGCTGCTACAGGCGGTGCCTTCCTTGTGCGCCGCCTGCAGCAGCAGCGAGCGTCCTGACGAGGGCAGGGACGAGGGTGAGTAGCGGGGACAGCAGCGCCTGTCCTGACGAGGGCAGGGACGAGGGTGAGTAGCGGGGACAGCAGCGACTGTCCTGACGAGGGCAGGGACGAAAGTTTTTAAATCCAGTCAAAAACAAGAGGCGTGTAGCCTGCGTTTATGAAGTGTCTGTGCAATATTCAGGCGTCATGCAACACTTGACGTTGTTTCACGTCTTCAAACTGCAGGTAACCACTGACTGGCGTTGATGATGACGTACGCGCTAATTACATGCAAACGAAGTTGTAGTTAAGACGTAGCGTTATGATGTCGTCACTCTTCCCGTCAATAAACATACACTACTGCTTTTTGCCGTGGGTATAGCAACCAACCGCGGCATGTTGCGTATAGTATTGCCTCCCTTTAGGAATACTATCCATTTACGTGCATGTGGTTAGGTAGACTACAACAACATAAATGTGGAAACGAAATAGTTATAAGTTAACGACAATACAGAAGCTTTTCAGTATATGTTTGCACTGCAGGTGTAGAGGTGCAGGACGCAGAGGTGTGCAGACTGTGTCTGTGCAGACGCACTAACGCCGCCCTCTGCCCCTGCGGGCACGTCTTCTGCTGGCGCTGCATCCACGGCGCCCTCGCCGCCAACCAAGCCCGCTGCCCTCTCTGCAGGTGAGGGGACACCCTGAGGGGCATCAGGTATTATTGTCTGAGGGGCATGAGGTATTATTCCCCGAGGGGCATGAGGTATTATTCCCCGAGGGCATGAGGTATTATTCCCCGAGGGGCATGAGGTATTATTCCCCGAGGGCATGAGGTATTATTCTCCGAGGGGCATGAGGTATTATTCTCCGGAGACACGTGGTGCCTTCGGAAGAGTTGTAGATTTCTGGGGTAGTTTTAATTGACTCATGAAGTACTTAAATGGTTCGCAGGACATCCTATCAAAATTAAGGAAGCTCCGAGGGCTCTAAACTGTCTTAATTGAGAGGACATCTCATTCCATAATATTTATAGCTATTAATGTATCGTTAATTTTATAATACGCCTACTAAAACGTCCCCTGTTATTTTCTTTGTTGAGCAGATATGCAGTGCAGCCGCGCGATGTCATTCCTCTGAAGAACTTCCAGTGATTCATTCCTCACGAGAGCGGCGAGAGGCATGATCCAGGCTGTTGTTGTCATTCCTCAAAATTAATATTTTTCGAGGCAGATCAGCGACTACATTGTGCACATGAGATCCGTCCTCGCACCCGTCAATGCATTGGTAGTATACCTAACATTGTTCAAATCATGTCTCATATTGAAGTATATATGGTAGAACGTAAGTACCAGGTCTCTAGATATTTGAAGATACCACGTGGTAAATAGCTCTACGATACCAAATATTCATGTTTTAAACCTCATCATGTTGAGGTATTTTGATACCGCACGGGTCCGAATACCATTGTAACTCGGTACTAATACTTTTTATTAATTAATAAGAATGATAATGCTTATAATTTTTCGATTATAACGAATGAAAAGCTGAAGGATGCACACCGCGGATAGCTGTTGTTCAGGTTGGCTATGCTGGACTTTTTATTTAAATTCTTACGTTTAGTATAGCTTTTTAAGATTTTTATCAGAAACAATTGCGTACTTCATCGTAATAAATGTTTGTTTTTACTTTACAACACGTAAAGTGTACGAAAAGAAAGGAGGTTTCCCACGCGGTCCCGCCTTTAGGCGGGCAAAGAAATTCGTGTCCAGGGCTGGAATGCTTAAAAAAATCTCATCAAATCGCATTATGTTATAAATGTATATAAGAACGTATTGGGCGTTATTGTGTGTATTGGGACTTGACTTGTTAAGCGTTCGATAAGAACGGGTTTAGCCTTAAGTGCAATTATTGGTGTAAGTTATTCGTTGTTTTCTCGGTTACTATTCTGGTCAGGGTTGGTGGACGCGTGTTCTTAGTGCGGCAGTGCACGTCACGTCAATAATTTACGTTAATTTACGGGGCATGAAACGTGCGCTTCTGATGCTGGAGAGAATGTCGTTTGTTGCGTGTGCCGTCGACGCTGCCACTTGCAATACAAATAATAATACTAATAATAATAGCGGTTTCAGCGTTTATTAGGCCGTAGGCACGTCGCCGATTCTGACCAGAAACTGGCGCACAGAGCTGGGATCGAACCCGCGCCTCTCTGCTCCAATCTTGGTACTCTGAACTTTAACCACTGGGCACTGTAGCCAATAATTAAGTTGTATTGCTAATGCCGAAAATGTTACAACAAATGACGAAGTTCTCATAACAAATGCCACTGTTTTCATAAAAAATGCTACTTACAGCGCACGAACTATGGTTTGTTAGGTCATGGCTTACCAAAAGTTCGTAAACATTAAATAATGAATGCAACCGATAATTGATAATTTAATGGAAGTGACGAGTCTGCTTCGTCTGAGAAGTCAGCTTGTTTATTATACTTTGTTTTGTTTTTCTATGTCCATGGCTGTGCTGATAAATGTTTTGAAGTATAAATACATGTAGGTTGAGAATACTGACGTGTGTTAATTACATTCCCAAGGTATGAACTATTAGTAAGATATTAATCTTCTTCAGGTCTTTCGATATGCGGTCACGGTTTACGCTTGTAAATCAATACACATTTGTGCCCGAGAAATCTTTAAGGAAAAATGATAAAAACAGACTAGACGAAGCTATGCAGGAGCATATGTTCAATCTTAAAATGCCTAGCAAATTACGGAGCAGGCAATAAGTCCAGCAGCTATCTCAATCAATCGTCAGCTATGGAAAGATCGGGTTCCAAAGGCCGGATCCCTTGTGAATCAAGTCACGAAAAGTTCAAGAATCGGCAACAGGCCATGGGCCTATTTCTTCAGCGCCGACACTTCTATTCTATTCTATTCTAACAGCCTTCGTAAATCAGGAAGATGATCAGCTGGTCAGCTCTTAACTCGTTAAGAGAAATAAATCTTTGTCCAGATATTGATAAACTTCTAACATTTCATTCTAACCCAGTTTGACCCGGAAAAACTGGGTGCCAGTGCTACGTCTGCTCTCTGCACTTAAGAAAGTGTCACCATTAGGACAATATGACAATAATATTTTTTTTAATGTGGCGTTCGCCTTCAATGATATTCCAGTCTTGTAGATTTCTTGTTATACAGAAGGTTAAAAGAGAAGCATAATAATTGATAGAGGGAGCTTTTTAAAAAACGTAATAACCTTATGTCTTATACAACCTGTTAACAAAATAGGTGAAAGCAGCGTGCTTTGAAAGCATAGTTATAAGGTGCAAGACAAAGACTAGATTAAACAGACAACGAGATAAAAATGCCCGATAGTTATATAACAATTGTTAGACAACAATAAAATCATACGATTCATACTTCAATATTACAAGCTAATATATTTATTTCTATAAATGACTCGAAATATCACATTTTAATTAATCAATGGCAGCGACAGCATATCAGAAAATATTCCTTAATGTTTTAAATATCTCAATTTTTTTAATCAAATTATTACGTGAACTGTAATATACATAAAAGAATAACAGATTATCATAGAATTATTTTCCAATTGCTAGATTTGACCAACAGTTCTCGTGACATGATACGTGACAATGCACAACGAACGATGCCATAATCAACGATTCGTAGCTACAAATATCGGCGCACCACAATCACGAATCGTTTATCACACGATTCGTATCGTGTGATGAACCTAAATTTAATTTCATCAAATTCAGCACCTAAGTTAATTTAATGGAGAGTGGAATCCATGCCACGTCACTCGCCACTGTCAACTTGAGCTCGGATTCGTCAAGAACAATACTAGAAACATAGTAGTGCAGTATCAATACTAGTATAGATTACTCTTAATATTTTTACGTTGTAACAGATGTTTTGTCAATACTTTTATTAATTTCCCTTCTCGTTTTAAATAGTTTTATTTTTTCAAGCACACAACATGCTTGAATGAACGTTAGCTCAGTGACCAAACCTTATGATGCCGAATATCTACGGACGCCACTCTGGTTTTGCTCGACTGTACATGCAGAAAGAATTTTTTGGTACATATAATTAGCATTACAAATAAGATATGATATGCGCGAGAAGCTCAAATCAACAGAGTGCATTTAAATCTACAAAATAAATATGTTTCCTATCAAATGATATGCAATCGCAAGCTGCGGAACTCAAGGCAGGCAGTGCATCCTGGAACACGCGAACTTAAATGCAAATCTTACAAAATTGTTTTCTCGTTTAATAATTACAATTTCAACGCTCGCTCCAAGAACCTGTTATTATATTAGCTGCTTAAATGGATCTATCAAAATGCTTGACTGGAAGGTACGACAGTAGCATCAATCACCGTCTATGTGTACAAACTCCACCTGAAATGCAACAAATAATGCTTATGGACATGACGTGGCCAATATAAAACAATTTTTGAACTTACCTGATGATATAACTGGCGCAGATGTTAGAGTTATGAGAATGAGACTGACTATTGGTAGTAACTTTACGTTCAGACGATACCCGCGTATAGCAAGTGTAGTGATGATACTGATAGCCCGTGATGTTACTTTCAAAATTTTCTGACGTCCCAAGAAGTTGCGGATTCTGCGCAATACGGACTGAAGTGGACAACGAAAGGGAAAAGTGTGACCGCGTTTAAAGTGATAAGACAATTCAGTGATGGAAAAACATTCATCAAACTCGACGCAATTCAATTATTTCTTACAAATTATTACTTTTGCCCAATTCATTATTCAGCAAGTCTGGGTAAGAAAGGCTTTCCTCTGAACTCAGTTCAGTCCACACAGATATTGCGTTGACTTCACCAATAATCATTATTATTTACACGAAATATAAATTCAAACAGCTTAAAACATCTTAGCAAGGACTTCAAATCTCAGTTGATAAAAAAGTGGCTAGATTAATAACCATTCATCCTAAACCTTAACTTTGCTCTACAATCCACAATAGATTTATAATGGACTGTTTACCAAGCGCAATATAATATTGTACAGCAGGTTATTGACAACCTATGTATCTCTTCGCATATGTTCACACTAGTTATAATCTTAGACAAATTCAGGTATAAAATCTTGGCTATTACGGAAAGCGTTGTACGCAGCTTTGAACGGAAGACACCGACGGACAAACACTGAACGAACAACCGTCGACACTAAGTGGAATTGCATAATTCAGACCCCGATATGGTCACTATATTAAATTCAGACCCCGACAAGCTACCATATACATGCAGCTCAGACCCCGATATGGCCACTATATGAAATTCAGACCTAGAAAAGATACGCCTCCATATACAGCTCAGACCCCGATATAACATTGAGTTGTTCGTTTCCTGTTCCAACGCATACCGAGACGTCATAAAAAATATAGAGTCCACGCATTAGACTAGAAAGAATATCCCTTCAAATATGAAGAAGAGCAGAGAAATTAAAACAAAACTACGTAGGGAAAGCGTACATCAAAGAACGCAGGATTCATAGAGTTAGTATTCAGAATTAACAGCGGCTGATTTAATCAGAGATCAGATCTGGACAAACTATGAGGAATGGACTCGTATATACGAGGGAAATGGTGGCCGTTTTTCTTGATTTTGACGCCAATGGTGGAAATGATGGCATTGAATCTATTGCATTGCAGACCAAAAATTGCGACACGCACACGCTGAGTCTTGCAGTACTAAAAGCATAGATTTAATTAATCAAGAAATCAAAGTTGACATTGATTTAACATTGAGTGCAACATCCAAATGTGATGATCAGCTCCAGTTTCGGTTACCTGGCGTAGGTATTGTACAGTTTATTTTGTCAACTCGTTTTTGTACAAAGGAATTGGGGAAGTTCATGAAGAAAACACTGAACAAAACTAACGGCGGACCACACATTCATAGAAAATGCTGGGTTTAAATTATTCAAATATTGACACACTTTCCAACCCACCAAGACGAGCAGAGTGCGGTCGTAGCACTAATACGTCGCCCTTTTGCTGGGCCAAAGTGGGTAAGGATGACCCACGTAAGAGCAAAAAGAGCATCGCCATTAGGACAAAGTTTCACCCATTTCTCTGAGTATAAACCAAGTGAACATCTATGGAATTACTCACGACACAAAGCCCTGTATTTCCTCTAACTAAATAGACTAGATATTCTCACTAGCGCGGTGTAAAAATAAACCCTGTTCAAACACATCAAAAACACACACTCGCACTTAAAATTACTCTACAAGACTAATATCAATAATAGTAATGATGATATCTGAATTATCTATCGTAAATCTATTAATACTATCATAACAGTATAACAATGGCATAGAAAATCAAACAACACTTAAAGTCTAGTATTGGTGCATTCCTCTTACTCTTACTTCCTGCTTCTTGTGGACACTTCCTGCTTCTTGTGGACACTTCCTGCTTCTTGTGGACACTTCCTGCTTCTTGTGGACACTTCCTGCTTCTTGNAGCACGTATCTTCTCACTCAGCACGTATCTTCTCACTCAGCACGTATCTTCTCACTCAGCACGTATCTTCTCACTCAGCACGTATCTTCTCACTCAGCACGTATCTTCTCACTCAGCACGTATCTTCTCACTCAGCACGTATCTTCTCACTCAGCACGTATCTTCTCACTCAGCACGTATCTTCTCACTCAGCACGTATCTTCTCACTCAGCACGTATCTTCTCACTCAGCACGTATCTTCTCACTCAGCACGTATCTTCTCACTCAGCACGTATCTTCTCACTCAGCACGTATCTTCTCACTCAGCACGTATCTTCTCACTCAGCACGTATCTTCTCACTCAGCACGTATCTTCTCACTCAGCACGTATCTTCTCACTCAGCGCGTATCTTCTCACTCAGCACAACACAAGCACAATAACGCGTTATAAATCTAGTTCTAACGTCACAAGAACTTTCTACTTGCAGCAAAGTTTACTAGATTTTTTGCATCAAGAACTTCAGCAATCCTCGGTCCAATTCGAGCGCTTCGGTGCACACGATACACTTTCTCCCTGCATAGGAATCTTGTAAAAAAATCAATTTGGTTTACCATAAAGAGAAATACTAGTGAATTCTAGTCCGGTCGATGTCCGTTCGTATTTCCAGGAAAACATTTCATCCAAAACATGTCGAAGACAAGCACTTCCAGTAAAGTTTACTGAAATTTTCTGCCATAACTGTTACTGGTCTTTTTTCAGTGCAAGGAATAACGTTTCTTGTGCAGAGCTACTGAAGAGACTCGTGCATCAGGACCACTTGGAGGGGCGCTGCCCCCTACATCAGTTGTGCTTCCTCTTCCTCATCTCTCTTCTTCTCTCCTCCATCATGGTCGGGCTCAGTCTTATCTCGCGGTAGTCTCTCTGGAACGAGAAAAAATTGCTGTTTACCAGACATTTTTTCCTTAAATTTACGCCAAATTGATATTTACCAGCCATCTGGCGTTTAATTTACTTTCATTAAACGTTTAGACCTTGAATTTACGCTAATTAAACAGTGCTCCAACGTCATTTGCCTTTAGAGTAACTTCTTCGCCTGGAAGAATATACATGACGTAAAAAAAGTCCAAGTGAGAGAACTGATCTGAAATATGCAAACTTAGATATAGTCACCTGGTATCATGGATCTTCTTCATAATCCGCAACATTTAAATCAAGTAGGTAGAAGAATAACAGAAAAAAAGAGACATTTTCCAAGAATCCGCTCAGCGATTTTATGCACATCAGCGGATTCTGATTATTTTTTGTGATTAGATGCCTATTTACAAGGAATTTTTATTATTCGATATGAATACACCCTATAGAATATTCTAATAAGAAAATAATTATTTAGCTAGGTATAAAATGTTGAAGGAGCTACTGGATTTTCATTTGGCAACTGATCAGGACTGATATAATGAATTTTTATTTTCTAAAAAGTCGATCCATTGAAATTATTGAGAACAAACGTTCAACTTGAACAACAGATATTATATATTATAAATTTGTTTAATTATGTTTTTAATTATGCAGCGCATGATTACTGTAAGTTAGTGATTATTGCGAGACTTCCGAAATAGCAAAGTTACGTACATTAGCTGTTAGTCCTTAAAACGTATGCATTCAAAATTCAATTTACGCTGACTTATCGTTAATTGAACTGAAAGACCTCGAATTTTACAATGAAAAATAAATATTCAAACCAAAAGAAAGAATGCTATTAAGTTATTGTCATAATTTAAGGTAAAAAAGTTTGTCAATTCGTTTAAGATAAATGTAAAAAATATGCCACCTTCAAGTACCAGTCTGGTTTTACTCTTAAATATTCAGTTCAATAACGAAAACTTAAGAAAAGCACAAAGGAATACGAGAGGATTTCGAAAGCCGATAGTGATACTGGCATGACCTGGTCGAAAGTTTGACGGCTTAGCGCTAAATATTACAAATCAAACTATTTCAGAGGCTATTCTCATTAGTAAATAGTATAAATGCAACTCAAATAAAAGAAATTAACAAGATACTTACCAAGTTCTCATCGTCAGGCACTCTGGAGAGGAAGTCGACAAGTTCGTTGTTGTTGATGGCGTTGGGTCTGAGGAGATTCTTGAGGAACTTGTTAACTCCAACGACAAACACCAACGCCCTCAACGGCACGTAATACAACACCAACGCCACGCACATCAACGCAAACACCATCATCCACGAGAGCAGCGGTACGCTGAAGTTGAACGTGCTGCCGTGAACGAGAAATGAAGTTCACATGATGTCAGTTTGGTGAAGTATGAATATAATATCATGATAGTTTATGAATGATTTTAGGTAGTCTATGAATGATGCATGATAGTTTATGAATGATGCAAGGTAGGCTATGAATGATGCAAGGTAGTCTATGAATGATGCAAGGTAGGCTATGAATGATGCAAGGTAGGCTATGAATGATGCAAGGTAGTCTATGAATGATGCGAGGTAGGCTATGAATGATGCGAGGTAGGCTATGAATGATGCGAGGTAGTTTATGAATGATATGTAAGTAGTCTATGAATGATGCAAGGAATAAATGATGACTTAAATATCACTAAATATTGTAAAAATGGGACGCAAGGATCATGGTGCTGCGACTTGGTGGTAATATAGGTAGTATAGTAAAGAATAGTATCTTTGGCTTTGAAAAATAAGCCTGTCGCCGATTCTTATATTTTTCTCTACTATACAACGTTAAAGGCTAATTGGATTAATTCTACGCTTCGTGATGAACCTATTAAACAAAGCCAGCATTTAGTAACATGCTATTATTAATAGGTGACCAAATTGTATTTCGGGAGCAGAGAAAATCAATGACCAAATGAACTCCATCTTCACGCCAGTCTCATTCTTGAGTATTGGACTCAACATCACTGGAGGAAAAATGAGAGATTAGTAATTCGGGTAATACTTTATAATAACTGAAATGAACGGGCCGGAGAACGCAGCGCTGACTCACTTTTTGATGGCAGTTCTCACCACGCGCGTCATCTTGACTTACTTTCTTATGTCAGTTCTCACCACGCGCGTCATCTTGACTTAATTTCTTATGTCAGTTCTCACCAAGCGCGTCATCTTGACTCACTTTTTTATGTCAGTTCTCACCAAGCGCGTCATCTTGACTCACTTCTTGATGCTCTCCTGCGTGGAGGCGATGAAGCCGATGGCGTTCTGGACGGTGGCGGTCACCTCCTGGATGGCTGTGAGCCGCTCCTTCAGCGACTTCTTCTCCTCCTTTTTTCCGAAAGACAGAAATAATAATTATTTTTATTCACAATATTTAACTTTCTCATAATAATTACTTTCCATAATGATGTCCTAATTAATTTAGAATACCTAGAAATATCCGTGAAATCTTGATTTTTAACTGGAAAAGTTTGCTTATTTTTCAGAAAAAAATTTTGCAAATCTTCGTAAGGTATTTACGTTTTTAACTGAATTTAATTATGAAGTGCAATCAAGGCTTCGAAAGTCTTTGAAAAATTATAAATTAACGCTCAACTTGAAAAAGAATAGGTATTAGTTGTAAAAAAAAACTTCATAAAATCCGAAATGGCAGTGGAAAGGGATTCCAAAAAAGTAGGCTGTTATCCAATAAAAAATACCAGTTCAGCGTAGAAAAAGTCCGAAATACCATGGAAATTGTAAGCAGTTTTCAGGCAAATAAATAGTATTGTTCAGAAGTAGTTTTCAAGTCACCGTCAAATAGTTACAGCTTATAAAAAAGTAATATACATAGTAATTACCGAGAAAGTTTTCATTATTATTTTTCAATAAACCGAGAAACCCAGAAAGTTTCAAAATAGCGTCCAGGGAGAAGAACCACGCCAGGTATCAAAATAGAAACATTTCCTGGTAAATTATCAAATCAAAATTATCAAATTATCAAATTTTGATAATTATCAAATTATCAAAAAGACAATTCTGATGGTTTTAAAACCATAATATCGTCAGTCATGAAAAGATCCGGTCAAATGACACGATTTTAGATCTTCTGTGAACAACGTACAAAAAGGAAAAGAATCGGCGACATTCAGCGCTGACATCGCTGTGTTATGTTATGTTATAATAAAATTCAGTGGCATTCATAAACTGCGATGATCCTCAATAGGGGTAGACAGGATGCTAGGCAAAGCAAGGAATACTTTGAGGAAATTGCACAAGCAAATTTATATTATCGAAGTAACGAACACAGACATCACACGAACTGGAAACCAGAGGCCCTGGGAGGAGATGTGGGCCATCTCGGTATGGAAAAAATGTAACAGCAAGTAAGAAGAGATTAAAATCAAAACCGGGGACCGAAGTGAGAGGAACAGGGCAGAACGGGACAGGGGCCGTACTATCAAAAATGTTCAAGAGTTTGCAACTCCATCAGCTAAATTCATCAATTTCCACGCTGAATCCAACAATTACAGACGCGAAATCGACCGTTAGGAGTCCTCGGCCGTTACTTGTACTCTGGCTGGTACTTGTACTCTGGCTGGTACTTGTACTCTGGCTGGTACTTGTACTCTGGCTGGTACTTGTACTCTGGCTGGTACTTGTACTCAGACTGGTACTTCTACTGAGGCTGCTACATCTACTGAGGCTGCCATTTGTACTTAATCGAGTTTTAATAGTACGACCCTTGGACAAGAGGGCACATTAAGCAGTGTTGTACAAAGCGTTCATGGCACCGCACGCTTACTTCTTTAGTTATCTATTGTGGCAGCAGCAGGGTGGCACCAGCGGCGCGACGCAGGACGAAATAACGTTAGTTGGGCACACGGGCGAGAGGAGGTGGGGAGGGATTAAGAGGGATTAGAGAGGGATTAAAGGGACGTGAAATAAACAGAGAACAGGAAGGAATTCGGTGAGAAATTGGCAGTTAATCGGGAATGAAAATTAGGAGGATATCTGGGTGGACGTGGGAGAAAATCATGCATGGGGGAAAGGGATGAACTGATGGGGAAAATAGGGTCGATAGTTGCATGCACATTGAATGGCGGAAAGAATACATTATTCCATAAATAAAATTGAAATAATGTTTTCTATACAAGTTCTATTCCTAAACAGAACTAGTGGACGCTTCTTTACATGGTATTGCTACTCACAAATCGAACATTAAATATATGAAATAATATGACAATTAAGTGAACAATAACACTTAAGAAATTTATTAATAAAATAACGTATAAAGACCGTTCTACATGATATAAAAAGATAAAAAAGATATATAAATGACACTGGTCTTCTACATATCCTATTTACATTTATATTTCTATATAAATAAATGACGAAGGCTGGCCACTGACCTTATCCTTCTCGTCGTCATCGTCGTCCTCGATGTCGCTGCTCGTCTCGAGCTCATCGTCCTTGTGCATGAGGCTCCCCACCAGCGAGATCACCTGGGGGGTCATGAAGGATCATTACCTCGTCGAGCACATGTCATTGTCATCATTCTGTGGTTCAGAACTAATGATATTCTGTATCATTACCTCGTCCAAATGTAGGAGTAATTTCTCGTCACCATACATCACACGTCACCACATCACACGTCATCATTCTGTAGTTAATAACTAATGATATTCTGAATCATTACCTCGTCCAACACCTATCATTGTCACCATTCTGCATTTCAGAATTAAGGATATTCTGAACATAAGGGAATAAAACTTGTTCTAGACCAGTGATTCCCAAAGTGGGCGCTATCGCCTCCCGTAGGCAGTGGAAAGATCTGGGGGGGGCGGTGATGAAGAAAGGGGCAGTAGGGGGCGGTAGTCCGCGAAGTCGAAGTCAGAAGTTCGTTCGTTTGTTTGAAGATTTGTATACAACACGTGTAGAATATGGCTCCGACTCGAATAAAATTTGAGAATCTAAAAATCACCATTTGATAGTTAGGAATTTATATTCAAAATTTCGTTCAAATCTGTTGAGTAGTTAGGAAGAAATTCTTTTATCACTGTGAATTTCGGCCTGCATCGCCCTATAACTCCCGAATGAAGGTGAAATTAAAAAATTTTTCTCGAGCTAAACATCACCGTTAGGTCCTAATGAATACATTTTCTATGTTTCATTGGGCTGCGTTCATTAGTTTGGGAGATATTCCTTGGTCACTGAATTTGGAGATTGGCCGTGAGACCGATCACGAGTCTGGCCGTAAATTATTCCGAGCCATCTTGAATTTTGAGTTCTGAAACAGTTAAATCTGTAAAAATATATATTGATTTACGAAATGTGGTTCTATTTGTGAAATACACATTTGTGTTTAACCTTTCTCTTTTAAAATAGCAACATACTAAATGTCAAGAAAGAGTCGTTTGTTTTTATATGTGTCTGTCGGGTTGAGGGGCGCTAGAAATTCACTGGGAAGCTAAAGGGGGCGCCAGCCGGAAAAAGCTTGGGAACCACTGTTCTAGACTAAATAGACTATAGTCTATATAATCGAGACTACATAGACTATAGTCTATATAGTCTAGACAATACAGCGCCACTCGTGTTACTACACTAAAAAATTTTATGTTTTATATTGTTCAAATGGTGACACATTTTTTTACCCACAGCGAGTGCAGACGTAAAGCACTGAAAGCAGACGTATCACTGATTTTGACCCGGCCGTTTTGCCGGGTCAAACCTGGTCAGAGTGACCCGCACAAAGACAAAAGTGCATCGCTATTGACATAGTCTCAGTTATATCTCTGAGTGTACATGGCATGCTTGTCTGCACGACGTTCTTGTTATGTTATAACCCCGAGTTATTACGTCACACGTCACTCATCACACGTCACCACATCACACATCACTACGCACGACATAGTTCTTGAAGAAGATGCCGAGCAGGGCCAGAGGTATCATGTACATCTCGAAGAAGTACACGCCCAGCAGGAAGCCTACGAACGCCATGCTACTCTGCAGGGGGTTCTGCCACGTGAAGATCTGACTGCAACACACGCGGGGGACATTAGTCAAGACTTAAACAGCAGTCGAAAATAATAAATTAGTAAAACATTGACTTAACATAAGACACATATGGCCGATCAGACTGGCAAGCGTTTAGGAATACGTGATATAGGAGTGAGCAAATGCAAATTATATACGAACAGAGTACCAAATCGCTTGAACTCACAGATCAACGTTCGCTGGTAATCGACTTAATTTTGCGAGAACAAATCCACAGTTTGAAAGTAAAATTTAATTTTTGAACTGTAAATTTTCGTATTGTTTTAACTGTTAGATTTGGGTAACTCAAGCTCTGGGATATGCAAATTAAAAGATTAGACGTTCACTGCTCAAGCCTCTAGTTGGTATAAGAACTAAGCCCAAGCACCACAAGCTTCTCCCACTTCCCCAGACGCCCAAAGTGATCAAATTCATTCCCACCACACCCACACTTCATCCCCTACAAACTAGATCCCCAAAGTGGGATTCCACCGCCCCCACAGTTCCCCCAATGTCCAGGGTGGTACGCAATCGTAATGTCCCCTTCCCCTCCAAGGACCCTGAGTGGGACCCAACACTTCCACACTTCCCTGCACAGGACCCAGAGTGAGACCCTTCCACTTTACACTTCCCCCTCCATAGAACCCAGAGTAGGACCCCACTTCTACGCTTTCCCCTCCAAAGGACCCAGGGTGGGACCCCACTCTTATTTTTCAAATGTTCAAGCAGGTCTCCAGTACAACTATTACTGATGAATTCTGCACTACCCCCTCCAAAGGACCCAGAGTGTGTCCCCACGACCCACTTGATGATGACTCCTCCCTCGACCATCTGGTTGATGGTGCCCTTGAGTCTGTTGACGTTGCGGATGAAGATCTGGCGGTTGAACTTGAGGTCCTTCTGCATGTACTTGTAGTCCCGCGGCGTGAACGTGCGCACCGCCGCCCGCAACTGCACGCACAGAAATACATCAGAGTTTGTCCAAATAGCCACGCAGTTTTTGCTTGGGTCGGGTCTTCTTCACCCACTTTGCCAAGGCAGATCTCGATTACGAGTGATACGTACGGAATGTTTATCACTATTTGGACAATGTTACCCAGTAAATTTTGTGATTGAATGATGTGATGAAAAAAAGTGAAGAGTACATGAGGAAAAGATAAGGAAGAGAGCAAATAGAGATGGTAATTGAATAACAGTGGGAAATGGGGAAAACGAGATGAAAAAGATAAAGAAATTATATGAAACAGACAAATAAGAAACCCGTAAAAACGGAAAATGTGACTGACCTGCAGCTATCTATACAAAACATTAATTATTGGTGATGTATCCGATAAGGAAATATTGTGTAATATGAAAAACATTGGATTGTAATATCCTAATGGACGCACAATTCCAAAAAAAATTGTATTTTTCGGAAAGAAATCAGGAAACTGAGTAAAAACTGTAATAAAAAGCTAATGTACAACGAATAATTTCAGGGTGTAAGGCAGTTAAGGGTTCATGAGCCCACCAGGTTCCAGTGCACCGACAGTTCCATCAGGATCTCAGGGTAGTGGCCCTTAGCGCGCGCCCTCATTTTCTTGTCCTTAAGGGCGTACCTGAGAGGGGGGAGGGTTATTAAGACCTGGTTTATTCTCAAATTATCATCCTATTTTCTATTCCCCTCCCTTTTCCCCATTTTGCAACGCCTCATAAATCCCCATTTTAAAATTAAAAGAACCGGTCAATTGACACGATTTTAGATCTTCTGTGAACAAGGCACAATAAGTAAAAGAATAGGCGACAGGCCACATCAGGCCTACACTTCAGCGCCGACATTGCAATGTTATGTTATGTTATTTTATGTCCCGGTAATATACCGACACGGTAGATATTGCGTATGCTTGCTTCAATAGTTCAAGTAGATTGTTGGGCGCTCAAAAATCACACATTAACTTTCAAGGAAATATAATTTAAGACTAAACAATATCTCAGCGGCGTGTGGAATAAAATAATTTAAGAGAGAACAACAGGAGTGAGAATATGCTGAGGGAGATATGCCTGTAGTGGGTCACAGTATGCCTGTAGTCACAGTATGCCTGTAGTCACAGTATGCCTGGGGTCACAGTATGCCTGTAGTCACAGTATGCCTGTACTAGGACCACGCACCACTTCTTCTCGCCGTTGTGGATGCGCAGCAGCGGTACCATCACCTTGCCCAGGAACTCAACTTTGTGGTCGCGGTCCTCGTCGTACACCGTCACCTCCAGCACGCTGTGGATGTCGCGCACGTTCCTGCACTCGGAGAAATGCAAAGATTTTGTCTTAATGAAAAGACTTTGTCCTAATCAAAAAATTTTGTCCAAATAAAAAGATTTTGTCCAAATGAAAAGATTTTGTCCTAATGAAAAGATTTTGTTCAAATGAAAAGATTTCGTCCAACTGCAATTTTTGTCTTTGTGGAGGCCGCCATACAGACCTTGTTTGCTCGGCTAAAGGACGTGTCAGTGTTACAATGTGGAAGTTTGTCTTTATTTGGACATTATAAGCCTTTCACTAGTCTGAGTGTGGAGGCGCAATGTTGGGGTCAGGGTCTTGTACTCGGTGTGGGTCTGGACCCCAGCAAGGGGTTCAGACCCCTGTCAACTCACATGACGAAGACCTTGTTCCATGTTGGGGTTAGGGTCTTGTACTCGGTGTGGGTCTGGACCCTGTCGTTGATGAGCTCCACCACGCAGAAGGGGTCGCTCTTGCCCCCGATGTCTGCAGACGCGAGGCCCTGCGCTCTGTAGATCTTCACCGTCAGGTGACCAACATCCTTCAGGTTCTGCAGAGACCTCGACCATTTCTGCAGGGCACAGAGGGTAAGAGGAAAGACCACTTCTGCAGGGCACAGAGGGTAAGAGGAAAGACCACTTCTGCAAGACGCAAAGGGTATGAGGAAATTCCATTTCTGCAGGACACAGTAGGCACGAGGTAACTTATCTGCAGACGTAAGCAACTTATTTCAACGCAGCAAACCTTCAGTAGGAGTTATTAATCATGTTAACAATGATAAATGACTAATTTTACTTCCACCTCTTGATAATTTTAAATAATACATCACGCATAATATGTTCCATCACCTAAAATAATACAGACGATTTTCATCAAGCAACTGACATATAATTTCGATATCCACGCATAGAGTCGCGTAAGTTAATACATCCAATAGACTGCATGGGCTGATCAGACGCTCCTACGAGTACCTAGATATAGAAATGATGAAGCTGTTGTTCACCTCTGTCGTGCGCCCGAACATAGAGTTTGGAAACGTTTAAAATGCCTCGTACCCTACGGAACAACTGATATCTAGAATCGATTTTAAATCTACCGTCCGTTGAAAAGATCTGATCAAAAGGCCAGTCTAGTCAAGAAAAGCACAAGAATCGGCGACAGGCCTATCCAGGCCTACTCCTTAATGCCGAAGATACTATACTATACTACTATACTAAGTGAGCTACGTCTCACTTGGCATGAGACTCGCGCATCTCTCGTGCGTCTCTAAGCATGATAACCACGTATCAGTGACACACGTATCTCCGCTGCATCAATACTCACGTATCTGCGTTGCGTCTAAATCATTAATAATACTCGCGTATCTCTGACTCACGTATCTGTCCAGGATCTCTCTGATATCGTCGGGGTTGTCCCTGTGCATGGCGATGTCAGAGGCGCAGTTGTCGGTGGTGAGGCCGGAGATGGTGAGCAAAAGATGAACTTTCCCAGCGCCGTCCAGCAGATCCGTCCAGATGTCGTGGGTCTTCTCGCGCTCAAACTCATTCAGGTCCAGGATGGATCTGACGGCGAGGGTAGGGATCACTCATAGTTTAAGCTGAATAACACTCGTAACAATTGAGAGACTTTGTCCAAATAGCGATGCACTTCTTGCCCTTGTGTAGGCCATCCTGGCCCAGTTTTGCCAGGCGTATCGGTGCTATATGCACAAGGACGTATCAGTGCTACTTGCACAAAGGGTATCACTATTTGTACAATATGATCCATTGATTTTTTTCAAATGGGCCCCCTCAGCGTACCCAGTACCCACTTGCCCATGAAGTCATCCTTGGACCGGGCATCCTTGTCCCAGACGGTGACCTCGAGGATGTGTGTCTGGTCGTCGTAGAGGTGGAAGTCGAACTGCTCCAGCCACTTTGGGTTGAGGGTGCGGGCGTCCGCCTTGCTCTTGAACTTTTCATTGCCGAGTCTGTGGTCGAAAAAAATGTTATGTCATTCATTTCTGTCAATTTCAAGTTTAACAAACTTTAAATTGACATTAAGGTCTCAAATTCCTAGAATAATTTAGCTCTAGTTTTAGTTGAAGTGCCATGACCTCAGCGTCCAACATGCATGGAGTCGTCCGTTGGCCCTATGTCAGGGCGCTGTTGGGTCGAAAATGGGGTCTGGTTCAAGTCTGGGTCGTAAATGGGGTCTGAGGTAGCGTCTGGGTCAGAAATAGTTAAAAATTTAGCGTCTGGGTTGAACATAGATGTTGGGTCAGCTTCTGGGTCGAAGATGGGGTCTGTTTGAAGATGGGGTTCAGGTCAAAGATAGGTCTGGGTTGGCAGTTCCAGTTAAACTAGCTTGAAAAATCCCACGCTGTACCTAAGTTCTTGTTAAATGTACTCAAGATTACCAGGCTTCCCTAAAAGTTTAGCTTAAACCAACTTGAAGTTCACGCACTTCAGCCCAAACTTCCGTAGAGTCAACTAGAAACCAGATTTGATCTAACGATAAAGTTTCGACTTCGATGAAAGTTCCACAATTATTCCTAGTTTTAAGTTGAGATAACTTTTAATTGTCTGCCTTTATCTCAGGTTGAGCTCAGTGAAAGTTACCATCTCATTTTCCAAGTTAGAGAATAAATAAATGAAAGCGCTACACTTTATCACAAGTTGAGACTAGTCGAAATTGCCAGCCACTTTTTAACCCAAGTTCCAGCCGAAATACAAAATCGGTACCTCATATTCCAAGTTCAAGTCATTTCAAGTTCAAGTTGATTTACCTGAATTTGTTACCCCATACCTTAAGTTTGAGTTGAACCCACCTGAACTTGGCATAGGGGTCGGAGAAGCCATCAGGGTCCATGGGCAGCAGGTCGCGGCCCTCCACCAGGATGATGTTCACCACGGCGCTCCACAGCTGGTTCTTGAGCCGCCGCTGCTGCTCTGCCAGCTTAGAACTGCCGCGCTGTAGGTACTGAGAGCAACAGGTTCTTAGTGAGCGTACTTAGAACTGCCGCGCTGCAGGTACTGAGAGCAACAGGTTCTTAGTGAGGGCTCTTAGAACTGCCGCGCTGCAGGTACTGAGAGCAACAGGTTCTTAGTGAGGGTACTTAGTGAGGGCTCTTAGAACTGCCGCGCTGTAGGTACTGAGAGCAACAGGTTCTTAGTGAGGACACTTAGAACTGCCGCGCTGCAGGTACTGAGAGCAACAGGTTCTTAGTGAGGGCACTTAGTGAGGGCTCTTAGAACTGCCGTAGTGTTGATTTATGTTTTCTGTTGATTGTGATGTATCTCTGGATAAGAGCCTACAAACACGTCCCTGTTATCGCGTACTCAAGTTTCAACTCAAGTTAACCATTGGCTGATAGTTGGCAAAAAATTAACTTGAACCAGTATTTGTTCTGTGATTATCATTGAAAAGTGCGTTGTTATACAGTAACTTAATTTGCCCAATCTTTATCTAAACCCGGAGAATGCAAGCTCTTGCCTATCGTGACGGCTTAAAAAAGAAATTATTTCGAATAATCATCGAAAACCACACATTACCAAAAATATTATTCAAGAATACGTAACAATTATATTAAACCGTGTTTTCAATGCGGCTACCAAACAACTCAAACAAATTTGTACAGGCAATATGTTTGCTTCCATAGCTCGGGGTTTACATCCTCAGGTCTATCCCCAGTCTCGCGTGTGACGATACTATGACAAATTAACAATATAAACTCTCATATATGAACGCCCACACAATATACAAGGCATTATAACAGGTAATTATACTGTATATACAAGCTTACAAATTATAAGTTGAGAGCATTTGACACTTTACCTTTATAGTGCCTGTACAATCTGATTTGTATTTACAATACATTATTTCCAGACTGATTATTTACTAAGAACAACAGAGATTAGTGAATTTATGATTTCACTTGTTACGTAAATTAATTATCCATTCTAGACAAGTACCTATCATGTATTATACATTTTAAGAATCAGTTTAGAAGAATAGATGTTTAAAATTAAAACTAAATATGATGGAAAACACAGCTAAATTTTTAGTAAACAGTATACGGAATAAAGACCGAACATTCAAGTATAAGCCTGTGCACGCCAAGGCAGATAGTTGAAACTTCCCTCTATAATGATACTTCCTGTATATACATTCTTGCATGAAAAAATTAAAAATAAAGTTTTGCAAAAATAAGAAAAGCTCAACGTATATTTCCACAGTAAATCAGTAATATCTATGAAAATCAAAAAGCTGTATCCGCGGAATGAATCACTAATTTAAAAAACTGAATTAATGGTCGTGCTAGCGATATTAAATTCTTATGGCCAGTTGAGGAAAATAACAAAAGTAGAAAATTTTGAGAGAAGCGACCGTGAACTTGAGAATATTTTAGACCAACAAACGATTTAAATATCAATTATGCTGATAAGCCAAATTCTAATTTTCTCACTCCCGTTCTTGTTATCAACTTATTTCTATTAATTTATTATCTAATATTTATTGATGTATTCATACTAATGAGATTCTACTATTCTACTATACGATTCTACTATACTATTCATACTAATGAGATACACACATGAGATACTGGTTGCCTTATGCTAGTCGATCGGCATCTGAAACAGGAGAAGTATAGATTCCACACGCACTAAAAAGTTTCATATGGCCATCGTTTTACATGAACAAATTACTTTTTTGAAGCGATTTGTGCATTGGCGTCAGAAATTGAGAGATAAATTCAATAATAAATACATTCATCGCCTTGGAGACAGAAATATTAATACAAAACCATTAAGATTCTACAACAAATGTCCTCAGCTGCCGAGCTGTGGTTTTCCCCGCGTCACTCACTTTACTGATGGTGAAAGGCTTTCGTCTCCTAAAGCTGCCAAGCGACGCCAGCGAAGTGTTGTCTTTAGCAGCGACGACCAACGCCTGGGAGTTTGCCGGTGCAGGAGGATCTCTCTTGAAAAAACTTCCTATTAACCGCGAGCGCTTGGTGGCCAAGGGAACGATCCCTGAGTCTTCGACCGTGCTGCTCTCGTTGCTGTTGTTGTTATTGGACTCCTCGAGGTCGATGCTGCTGTTGTTGTTGCAAGCTAAGGCACTAGCAGCAGCACCAGCAGCGACCGCAGCCAAGCCAACGCTGCCTAGCCCACTTAGGTCAGGGCTTGCGGCGAAGCTATTGCTGCGCGATCTGCTTTCGTTTGTGACGTCATAGCTGTGGCTGCGATTTTTCGACGTCTTTGTGGCCAAGAAGGATCGTGATTTCGGTTTTTGGTCCACAGATATGAAGCTCGCGAGCGATGTGGTGTCTGGGTGCTCATGTCTTCTGGCGTAGAAGGTTTCGCTGTCAGTCGAAAAATCGGACGATGCTGTTTTTGAAGAAGGATCAATCGTAATCGATGAACGTCTTTGGTTTTCTGGAGGATTGCCAGAACTCAATGGGAGCTTCTTTTGGCCGGCCTTGGAAGCTGGAAGAGTCTTGCACCGAGCTGGCCTTGAGGGAGTGAAATTAGAGGGTCGTGTATTTTTCATGAGTGAGATTTTGTGTTTGACCAGCGCAGATGATTTGCCTTCACTACCGTCGCTCTCCCTCTGGTCAGTCCAGGACTCATGGCTGTTCTGGCGAAGTCGATCGAGATCGTGAGCTGATGCCGACTTACCGATCGATTTGCAGGCGGGTTCGGTCTTACGGAAACTTAGAGTTAGGTTTTTTAATTTGTTAGATAGGTCCATGAGAGAAGATTGCTTCTTTTTCAATTCGCTTTCGGACCTTACATACTCAGTATCGTTATCACTGAACCTCCTTTCTCTCACAGAGAAACTGAGCGCGTCCACAGGCAGAGAGAGCGAGTTAGTCAAGTTTCGCTCACTCCCAGATCGTTTTTCATTATTCAGAGATTGGTCCCACGATCCATGACATCGAAGATCATCTTCATTCACGCTCGGCTCAATTAAAAACCTGGGCATTTCACCGTCAGATGATCGCTTACGATGGGACGAAGATTCAGAAAAATTCCGACTGAAGGTTTCGGCTTCACGATTATTTTTATTCCAAGTTCCTGGAACGCCTTCATGTGATTCAAGCGAATTATCGTTGGAAAGAGCAATCTGCCGATTGAGTTGCGATTTCGAACTGGCAAACGAACTAAAGCTTTGGTTTACCGAGTATTCTTCCAGGCTTTGGGTGCTGCCTTTAAACCCTTCATCTGCCAGGATGTTCCTCTTTTGACGATAAGAGATCCAAGGACTAGAACCAGGCTGGAAAAAACAAGATTCTAAAGACGAGGCGCAGGCTGAGGCCATAGGGGACTCCATGCTACTCGACACCAAGATCTCATCTCCCTCGTTTGATGTCACTGACACTTTCCGTATAACGGAAAATGTGGGCCGTAGGCTGGCAGATGATGAGATACCAGAGGGCTTGCCGTCACGATGAACGCTACCCAGGCTCTGGGGACCATCGGAGGAAAATTTACAATTTTCTGCCGTCAACTGAGGATTTTTCTCAGGGAAATTTGACCGAAAACTTTTCTCGAAAAGTGACATTGTCTTGGTTCCCGATGAATTATCGTTTTTGATAGCAGATAAAAGTTTGAATTCAGCGCTCTCACTTTTGTTTAATTCATCTCGGTTTCCGTCATGGTTAGCTTCGGTAGAGTGAGTTTGCTCCGGACGCTTCTCGCTCTCCGGGACAGTAACTGGAGGAGGACTGGCAACATTTTTGCTGAAGACTTTCTTGAAGGCGTTGACAAAAGGGCCAGCAAAACTCCTGGCGGGCTTAACAGGCTGGCTTGCCTCCCCGCATGTCGCGAATGAATTATTTGTGGCTTTGCTGTCCTCCTTTTCTGCAATTTGATTGGCCAGTGTCTGAGGATTTTCCTTTATATCTTTTCCACATTTTTGTGCATCGAAAGACTGGGAAATTGAATGACTTTCTGTATCATCCAAATTATTATTATTATTGCAACCTGTCTCAAGTAAATAATTTCGAGTTTCACACGTTAAAACGCTGCCAATGTTGTTCGATTTCAAAGCGGCTTTTTCGATCATCGTTGAGTTCGAATTTTGATCACAACAAACAATTGCATCGGGGCGAGAAGTCACTAAAATGTCACTTTCATTTTGCTGCACGGCTGGATTAACAATAACCTCGATATTTTCTACGCTTGAACTCGTCATAGCGTCATCAAGCTGCAATCCATTCATTTCTCCTTCCTTCACATTGTTCTCATTGAAGTGGATCGTACTGTTCTCAGCAACGTTAACGCCTTCATCCTCAACTCGATACATTATGGATGTTTTATGTTGTTCTGACGACGATATAAAACACAACTAAACTTGAATTCATCCAGAGTCCGGAAAAATGTAAATTCTGAATATTTTCAAAGGCAGACAAAAGACAAGTCAAAATATAACTTCCGGTTCAGTCACAATGAAGAGAAGCGCCAAATTTTCCAAAGATGAGACAAAAAAACATATTCTGCATATTGAATTCCAATCAGATTAATATAGTTTCTGGATCTTTTCTACGAAAATTAAATTCAATTATTATGAACTGCAAGAGGATCTGACATAACACGTCTGGATTAAACCTGAGAGAAAACAAAACTTAAGCATTAATAATTAACACACAATGTTCGCATCGCATGCCTACAAACACTAAAGTTAATAATTCTATTTCCTTCACATGAAAAAAATATCTTTCACACAATCAATTGTTTCCGCGGTCAATTATCGATGAAATTACGCCGGCAATAAAGGAACAGAGATTAAAGGTTCAGAATAAAATTCGTTGTAAGAAAAAAACATCACGTGGCGGACACTCATAAGAATGAGGGAGACAATGCCCTAATAACGATGCACTTCTTGCCCATGTCATGCTAAACCTGAACCAGTTTGGTCGGGCAAAGGTACGCGTGCGTGCTTACTCTTACTCTCTACTTAGGCTAAGGGTTAAAAAGTGGGTTACTTTTCGAAATATTAAGCCAATGATTTTTCTGAGTGTGATTTTTATTTAATCACGAGCCTAGCGACATTTGAAGGTCTCAGTTACTGATGACGACGCCGGTGGTCAGTTTAGTGTTCACTGACTGCAGATCAGATGGCTCAGCAACTCTTTTTAGCGCATTTTCTCATTTATGGAAAAAATGCACTATTGTGCCCGCCATGTCCGTCCGTCTGTCTGTCCGTCTGTCCGTCCGTCCGTCCGTGACCTCAAGTTTTCCTCGACGAGAAAATGCGCTCTCTGTCACTCACTGCAGCGAGTACTGAGTTATATTTTTTACAGATTGTAGGTTACACTTGCTCAGTCGCTGGATAAGAACCAAGAGGAAATTTTTGGTTGAGCACAAGGATGACAGATGGATTTCCACCCGCCGGATAATATATGAGCTGTACAAATGCCCTCGCATATATACTCTTACACACGATCTTAGTCTTACACATCAGGCCTTATATACTCAACAGAGCAGATGGCTCTGGTTGGCGAATATATACGGATAAGTTAACCTAACACTGAATGTCTCACTTCACAGATGAAACCAATCAATAAGGCGTGAATGTCGTACCCTATTGAAAACTAACGGCGCCGACAATCGCTTATTCAGCGGCCAGATAAAAAATGTGAGTTATTTTCTCAAAGGTTTCCGCATTCATGTCATGGGTTCTTTTAAGGGACAAATGTTGCTCAAAATTTATTGAGGGTCGTGAAGCGACACAAATATTCTTGACTAGGTCATGGGCGGCATAAGCATACGAAAATATCGCAATGAAAAGCAAAATAAAAAAAATTATGTTTTGAAAGAGCAGATCTCAATAACTGAGGCAATAAAATTGTCCTGAATTGCTAAAATAAAATTTAATTAGGTGTACCCTAAGTTAATCCTGCTTTGCATGCGGCCAAACTGTGGCACACTTGGCATGTAGAGCCGCCGATACGAGACGTTCATTCTAATTTATTATGAGGGCGGTAAAACTGTCTCGTTGCCTTAAATCGACGATTAAGGGGAATTTAAATAACATTTAAAAGAAAAAAAGACCACAAAAAAGTAAAAAAAAATCGCAATGGATGAAGCTATATATCCACTGCACACCCGTTTCTGCCAACCGACTACTACGTCATTTTGTCATATCCTCTCAGTTGTCTACAGTGTAAGTAATATGTGCAAACATAAAAAGTGTGATTTTTTATATCCTCTCAATTGTCCACAATGAAAATAATATGTGCAGACATACAACGAACAACATACATCAGTGGTTTAAAAGAGAGAGGCAAAGGTCATACGTCGCTATCAGAAGATCTCCATGACGTCGCGTTGTGTGTGTCAAGGAACATCGATAAAAAAAACATCATCGTACCTTATTGAAAATAAAAGCCGCAGCAGCGCCGGTCATCGCTTTGTTTACGTTGAGGAAGATAATGAGGGCGATAACGTTGCCGTGACGAGGGCAGGAGTAACGAGCGTCTGCGTTGACAAGATAAACGCAAGCTGGGGCTTGACGTTCAATATTGGGGAGCAAATTTAAAGTCTACGTGTTTGTTAGTAAGAATCCTAGCTCAATATTTATCTACTAGTGTATTTAATCACTTGGTAGTGAAATTGGGGCAGCAAATTTTAGATCTATACGTGTATAGGAGAAATATTCCTAGGTCGATATTTAGAAACTTGATACGTCAATCTGACCGGCCTGGCTATTCACGTGCCGCAGTTCGATCTTTGATGGAAGTACAAAGTTTCTATTCGGTAATAATAATTAATCATTGTGAGACAGAGAGTCGTTTAATTTTGAAATGAATGTCAGCAGGAAAACAACTCTATATTCACCAGAATACTAACATCGCAGTCCCTTTCCATCAGAATTCAAATCAAACTTATTTTTCTAGAAGCGAATAGTTCTCCTCTATTTGTCGGAGTCCAAATCATTGCTATCTTATATTGGCAAAAGTTGAGTCGCGCCCTATTTATCAGCAATAATGTTGAGTGCTCTAGATAATGCTGTAAAAATGGGAACGATGGATGTGCATGATAGCGATACAATGCAGCGCCGATATCAAGTATTTGATAGCGTAATTAATATAAAAAACATGTACAATATATAATACTTTAGCCAAATCGTACGGGTTTTGATAAAAAGGAATGGAGGCGACGGTGAAGTGGAGTGAATTCATCGAACTAGAGCGAAGCGGTAAGAAGTTACGCGTCGTCGTGCGTAAATACGCGCCAGATCTGGCACAGAAATGTGGCAAAAACTGCCCTAGAAATAGCAGATGCTTGACGTGTAGTAAACGCAGGCGCTCGGCGTGTAGTGTACGCAGGCGCTCGGCGTTAGGGTACGCAGGCGCTCGGCGTTAGGGTACGCAGGCATTCGGCGTTAGGGTACGCAGGCACTCGGCGTTAGGGTACGCAGGCGCTCGGCGTTAGGGCACGAAGGCGCTCGGCGTTAGGGCACGAAGGCGCTCGGCGTTAGGGCACGAAGGCGCTCGGCGTTAGTGTACGCAGGCACTCGGCGTTAGGGTACGCAGGCACTCGGCGTTAGGGTACGCAGGCGCTTGGCGTTAGGGTACGCAGGCGCTCGGCGTTAGGGCACAAAGGCGCTCGGCGCTAGTGTAGTAGTATAGTATAGTATCTTCGGCATTGAAGAATAGGCCTGGATAGGCCTGTCGCCGATTCTTGTACTTTTCTTGACTAGACTGGCCTTCTGATCAGATCTTTTCAACGGACAGTAGATTTAAAATCGCTTCTAGATATCTGTTGTTCCGTAGGGTACGAGGCATTTTAAGACTAAACATATGCTCTTGCATGGCCTTGTCTAGTCTGTTCTTGAAGGCGTTCATACTCGGAGCGTCAACAATATCTTCAGGGAGGCTGTTCCACATGTCAGTGACTCGAAGCGAGAAGAAATGTTGTCGCGTGGATGAATTGCACCGCAGTTTTTTTAGTTTATAGCTGTGGCCCCTGGTGTTGGTTCTTAGGGGTTCTCCCCTACATTAGGGGAGCGCGTAATGCTGTACGCAGGCGCTCGGCCTTTGTGTACGCAGGCGCTCGGCGTTAGGCATTTCAGCGTTACCCGTTAGTATGGACGAGCGCAGATCCAATCGCCGAAGCTAGTTTGCGACTAAGACTCAAAAAATCTTTATGGCCACACAGATAAAAAATTCGAAAAATCAACATTTATGGAAAAAAAAACATTCGCCAAATCGAAAATCAGACGAGAATATTTATGAAAAATGTCAAAGTGAGCCAATAACTTATCAAGTTCAGTAAATTATTGAGTAGCTGAGTTGTATGAAGCAAGCATGCATTCATCAGATGATGATGCAGCATGACATCGAGGCATCACGATACCAGCAAATGTATCACATATTGAAGCAAGCATACGTCGCTGACGCCATTCTCGCACCACGGTTCCGAACTATCAGCCTCATCATTAAACTCATGCTACTTATTAAAACATTACACAATATAGTTCGTTTAAAACGACAAAGTAATGTTTTTGCATCACAGCGGGAAATTTAAAACACTTAAATTGTACTGAAATTGTTTAT